AATTAAGGTTATATTACTTAAAACTAAAGAAAAAAACTTTAGAATACCTTCTAGAAGTATTCTTTTTCTCATAACATTTTGCTTCCTAATTTGAAATATTTTATACAATAGTCCTTAGTGTAAGTGAAAACTCAAATGAGTCGTTGAAAACAGCCCTCAGCATGACAGAGCTATGAAGAGTTTTAGAACACTGTACCACTTCAACATAAACACACTAGAAATAAAGCAATACTTAGATATGTCTCTAAAGAAAGACATGTTCTAACTTCAATATGGCACATGCTGACAACTGTGAACCAACTGTGCAGTAAAAAAGGCTGGCTTGGAGAATATGCATATAGCTACCTTTGCTGGAAAGAAGCACAAGTATTACATGGGCAAAGCAACGGTGCAAAACCGTGAATACTCGGTATGTCCATCACTTTAACAACGGGTGCAAAACGCTCGTCTTCCAGTTATGAGGTTCAGAGAACTGAATCCTAGCACCACTGGCCACTTGTGTCTTGACCATTACTTGAGAACCTGCACAGAACCCACCCGTTCACCCAGTTAAACCACAGGTTTAGCAGACTAGCTGTGGTTCAGGTTAGTTTAGCAAGGATTTCTGAAAATAAGCATATTTTAGCCAAAAGCTTTTGCTTTACCAGGAGAATATGCATTAATTTTCAATACTAAATTTAAACAGAAAAGAAGTACAGATGCCCAAGCTTTTTTCTGAACCCTCTTCCAAGAACTGCTAGCAATGAACAACAAACACCTCCTGTCACTGTACCCACTGTAGTTCATACTGTATATTCCTAGATCTCTGCAACATTAATCATCTCTTAGGAAGGTAGTGGTGGGTGGAGTGATGAGCCTGCACAAAGCAGAAAAACTATTTTTTACTTGCTTCTCAGAAGACTTAATCAGTGCAAGGCTTAATCGGGATAGGTACAAGTGAAATATTTTCTAGAAAACGTCATGTATACTGTACCATTTTTTCTTGCAGAATATAATACATTTCAAACTACAGCCAAACAAGGTATCCTGTAACTCTAAAAGTAAAGGATACTGAGCACCTCAGATCAAATCCATGGGTTAATCAGAGATTATGGCAACTTTACAGAATCTTGGCTCTTGTCAATAAAATCCTACCATGGCTTTCAGAAATGCATTTAAAGAATGCAAATAAACATGAGTGTATTTTTTCTATTAGGGACACATACAGTACATATTCTTTTAACAGATATCTAATGTAATAAACATGCTGGGAACCAGAGAAACTGCTGACATACTGTAAATATGCAGTGTATAAATGCTAGGCAGTGTGACAAAGGTTTCAAAATCAGAATAATGTCATTGTAATGCACATGCGATTCAAATGATTAAAATAATTTGTCACAGAACAATTTGGACAAAAGCCTTGTTCAGCTGTGAACAGTCAACGTGCCCTTCTCTTTAATCATTTAAACATTGTGTACAATGATTAAATGATACAAAAATGTTCTCTCCTTTTGAAAGCTTTGTGTATTGCAGTTCAACCTCCTCTGCAATCTGTTCTGAATAAATATATAATTAGATGTTTATGTGCGTACTACTCAATATTTACAAGTCTTGACTTTATGTACATTTGTTATGTATAACTTTGAACTTAATACTAGTACAATCAGCCCCCCCCCCCAAACAAAATCACAGCACAAGCTCCTCTATGTTGAAAATCTTGATCCCTAACAAAATGTAGTAGTAAGTGTGATTTCTTATGTACAGTAGGTCACTAAGGCTGTTGAATTCTGTAGAAATGAATAATGTGGCTTGATTTATTTAAACAAAAACAATTAATCCTTAAACTAGCAAACCCTTGAAAAGTTTTGCAAATACACTCTGAAATGTATTTTAAACTTTAACATGACCACAGTAAATACTAACCTCTTTCTTACTTAGTCTGTGACCTCTCAATGTGAGCAATTGGCTCTGTGGAGGTACTGTAAGTTTCTGTGATGAAAAGCTATAGTTAATGGTTTTAATTACATAATACTGTAGAACTATCAGGCACGAAATGAAAGTCAGTATCCTTATAATAATGGATTGCATATTTCAGCTGTTAAAAAAATAGAAAGTCAACACATTCAAATCCCTCTAGGAGGGATTTTGGAGAGATTGGGTTAGTTGAACTACGATAGTTAAAATTGTCGTAATTGTGAACATTATGCATAATAGCATCCTTATGGATGAACACTCATTCTAGGCCAAAATCTCGATCTTCACATCATTTTTCACTTCAGTTTTTTACGCATTTTTTTTTCTGTATGTACCAAGTGAAGTAGTGAAATTAGTGAAGGACAGTGGTTAGCAATGCTCTCTCATAGCACTGAGGCCCAGGGTTCAATTACAGACCTGTTACTAATGGGAGAAATACTCATTACTCATTAAGCTGCAATTAATTCCTACAGTATATGTTCCTACAGTCCCTAACCCAGTATTTTACAATACGCTTCTAGGAACAAAACAAATGGTGTTACATTTGGTTTCACTAGTCATTGTACTTTTGTGGTCCTTAACACCAATGTGGTGTATGAAGGGAACCTACTGTACTTGAACTGAAGATTCAAGTTTTGTTAACCAATGTCATCATGTCATTCTTGTTTAACCATTTATTATTTTTTTTATAAAATTAATATTCAATAATTTACTTTTTATTGATGAGTCCTTAGAAACAAAACTATGCTAAACTATTTTGTGACTAATCCATGCTACATCTGCTAAACATTTTTCAGTTAACACTACAGTAACTATATCTTCAAAACACCTACAGTATTAGGTCACCCACAGACTGACCCCTAAATTTGTTTTAGGGGGGAAATAGGTTCTAAAAACTAACATTTTTTTAACAAACCTTTAAGTGTAGTACTAGAAACACATAATTCTGACCTGTCTGTTTACAGTGATATCATTTTTTTAGAGGAAGTGGAGTTATGTCATACTGTATGAGCCACAAATTATGAATAAATAACCAAAGTTATTTACTTCTAAATTCATCTGCTAAATAAAGCTTCTAGAGATCATTTCCGTATACTCCAACTAGCTCCGTGACTGAGTGCACAATCTTTGTAGGGTAAAATACAACTGATTTTGTTGTTAGAGCTTACTTCAATAGCCTTAAAATTGCAGAATTGCTAAAGCAAACACAAAGGTACCAGTTTAATTGTGAACAGGACAGTTAGCAATATTTTGCTCTTTAGAATTGTCTATTGTGCTATTTTCTGAGTAGGTAGATGAAGTTTACTACATTTAAACAGTACAACAGTGTCTTTTACCAGCAAATACTGTTAGATGCTGATAACATAAGGATACTGCAGGTGTTGTTGAGACTTACAATACTGTTACCTCCTGTCTGTGACCTTCACCTTACACTATAGGGCTTACTTCTACACTAAAAGTGGAAATATGACAATAATTATTGCTAGAGTTACAGTAGATTAATTTTATTAATTTTATTGGTCAAATACTTTTATTTAAGATTAAGACACTGCATCATCTTTCTATAATTATCATTGCGAAAAAGCTGTTTTGTTACAGTATTTAAGCTACACTGGGTGTGGTCAGGACTGGGATGGGAGACCTTTGAAAGGGTCTTATGGCAATGTTCTCATTAATTTTGTTCTATTTTTGTCCTCTTAATTCAATTAATAAATTTTCACTTGTCCACTTGATTTACTGTGTAGTGAGGCTTTTGGAACAGAAAAGCAGATACATGGCAACCAGGAGGGTGAAGTGGGTCTTCACCTACTGTGCATGGGAAGAACGTTTGGGATCCTATGGGACGAAAAGTTCTATATGATTTCAAGCACATAATTATTTCTTTCAATCTTCAATTCAAGAAGAAAAAACATTTATGATAATCAATATAGAAAATAATAATAATTTAAAGCACTTTTAAATAGCTTAGAATGGGTTGTAACAGCACTGTGTTTTATTAAATGTTTTAAGTTTAGATGTTTTAGTTTTTAACTGCTAAATTTCTACCTAGACTTCAGCTTTATTGAAGCATTCACAATTCTTCATTCATTACTTCAAAAATCAAACCACCAGCTAAAAACATACATTTTCAGCTATCACAGATTTGTTACACTTGAGCTAACTTAACAGTGGATTGTAAATTTCCCTTTTTCGTGTTCTAGACAATGTAACTGGGGTGGTAGTTTTGCAGGGAAAAAAAAGCGTATGTGTATTTTTTATGCCTTAAAAGACTTTCCTTGGTCACAAAAGCTACAGTGATCTATTCGAAGGCTCAACAGCAGTTGAATATTGCGCAAAATAACTTCTTAAAAGAAATAAAAACTGTCGGAAATACAGTGTAAGGGGCTAAATCACAACAAGAATAGAGTGCTTTTAAGTGTGCTGGGCTTCGGAAACAACTGCAATGTTAAAAATGTGTGCGATTAAACATTCATATACAATACAACTGGAACCAAGGAGACTTTCAAACGACAATTACAATACACACACCAGGACATCACCATGCTTTCCACAAGCGGCCACTATTGACATAAATAATAGTTATACTAATTAAATACAGTGTGTCTTCTGTTGCATACTGTCATTGTGTACTACTGTATTGTGCTGCCCTTGGTCCTATTTGGCAATTTGTGTATGAAACTGATTTGTTCCATTGTATATTGTGCATTTTAACATTAAATTAAATAATGTTATTAGTACATTAATAACATATGTGCAGTGATATAAAAGGTGAATTAAGATGAACAAACAAAATAAACTGTGTTAATTGAAAATGTCTTTTTTGCAGAAAACAACACAAGCTGAAGTAACACAACATTCTCTCCACTGTAGGCACAATACATTTTTCTTTTAGCAATTTAGTGCTGTCTGTCCTTAATCCAATGCTTGATTGCAAAACTCTCACAACTCTGTTTAAGCTATTGATTTCTGCATTACACCTTACATGTAGACCACACAAAAAAGAAATGCATTGAACAAACCTGCTATCATCAGTTCTCTGGATAATGCTGAATAAAGTTTATATTTCTTCAGCAATTGTATTAAGTGTGTGCTGCCATTCCTTTAAAGGCTTTTCAGTGCCTTTTTACAAGATGAGAACTGTGTGGAAAGTCACTTGGATCACATAAGCTTAAATTGAATACCCAGAGAGTTCTGCATTACCTAAAACTGTTTGAAGTAATATTTACACCACAGTAAGTACAGTATAAACATTGAGAAATAAAATTAAAGGTTGAATTGTGTTTAACTTTACTAATCCAGGAAGTTTAAAATAGCTCAGAAGAACAAAATTGCTTATTTAGCCCAGTAAAGCATGACATACAGCTTTCAACAAAATTTGTCAAGACTTCACACAAGGCAGTTTTCACCTGATGGTTTCAGCTGACTTGATAACACGGTACCAATTATACATATCAACCATTAAAAAAGAGGAAAACAAAATTATTTGATCTTAGTACAGAACCAACTAACTACTGGCACTTATTATCATGTTTGTACCATGATAATTGTACAGTATATACCTGTAGAAATTATAAGACTGATGCAAATCAAGTGCCTTTAGGTCAATACAAGGACTTTTTGCCCCTTTTAAAGCATTATGCAATGAATGCAAATTGAATACTGTATACCTTATTATATAAACATGCCAATACACAAATCCTCCATACACTAAAACAGTAGCATGTACAGTATCCCTGAAATTCTGTATTGTGCTGTATGTGCAAAGTTTTATGTCTACCTTGCTCTATCCTTGCTCTAGAGGTGTGGAGAAATTAATACCATATAATTTAATTATGTTCTGTAAGAGTTTAGTTCAATCTCACTTGACATATTGTTTTTTGCAAGCTTGCAAGCCATTAAAGATTTTGGTATTACCAGATTTGTCTTATAAAGAGTTTATGCAAAAAACACTTAGGAGAAAAGGCATTAACGCGCTACAACTGGTGAGAAATCATTATTAAATTACACAAAATTTACATCTTTAAAAGTGAAGATGTACAGCAATTACTATTATGGCATTTCCATGTTGACCTAAATGTCCAATTCAGAAGCCAGTTTGGGCTGGAAGATGGTTTTCTAGCTGATACTTAAAAAGGTAGGAAAGACATGTGAGAACTTCGATTGCATTTCACTATCTTACCTCATTTTTTGGAATGGTGGCAAAAGGCTTAATGATGGTAGCGAGAGGAACTTGACATTGCTTGGCAAGATCTGATGTGCAGGGAAAGGAGTACGCTGTGCAGCGCATAAACCGAGGACTTGCATTCCCTAAAAAAAGTACATTTACAGGGCAAGATGACAAAGATGTTTTAGTATCTACAGTGCATGGCACAGTATCTACAGTGCATGGCACAGTTTTAAGATCCCCTTTTATATTATACACATACAAAAAACTGTAATAAAAAAATCAGAACAAAACAACCCCACCCTCCTCTTGAAACGTTCCTTCTCTACACCCAAAACAGCCATTAACCGATCCTGCATGGTATGATAAGAGTGATAGAAAAACAAACCCTGAACTGAATTCTATACTATGTAGCACTAGAGTTATCATATGTCCAGTTTTTCCCAGAAATGTCCTCCTTTTCAGTCCTCAATTATCTGTCCCTTTAAGTATTAAACAGATACTTTAATAGTTACTGGTACAAATACCACCACCATCCATCATTCTATTGAATGTTCAAATATGGTAACACTGTGTAAAACCTTAGATTGTGTAAACTGGGTTTTAGTACTGGGAGAAAGCAGATCCCTTTATTTGCCTTTTAGTCATTACATAGATGGCATTTAGTAGCTTGTTAGTTCCGTGTTGCAAATCATTTGTTCTTGGCAAACTAGGAATCACAGGAAAAGTCATTTAGCCTACACAGTATATTCAGTCTCACTTCTGCATTGTGACCCATTAGAGACAGAGAAAGAACATGCCATCTTTCAAGATCTTCAGTGATGGACCACAGAATGGATTCACAGTTGAGATGGTACAATTCATTCAGGCTAGCATATATTTGCTAACAGATATTTGTTTTTAAGGTTCTTGTTTTCAGATTTCCAATACTCATCCTTCAGACAAAGCCGCCTTCTCAGGCAGCTGCATAGCTGTAAAGCTCTTCTGATATAAAAAAATCCAAAATTATTGCAAACTGTATTATGAAATGAAGAGCTATAAGTAAAGATGTATTGTATCTGGTTGTTGCAAGTACAATGTTATCCATATACTGTATAGTCTGATTTTATTTTACATTTTAGATATCTTTTTTTTATTATGAGCCATAGCAGCCAGAGAAAACCAGTTTAAAAATCAACTTAGAACACAGCAGCCAAAAACATCTCACCTGTATAAGTTGATCCCTAACAAAACGTACATTGGTGACTACCTATTTGGCGCCCAATTCCAAGTAATTGGTATCAGCATTATACTGGCAATTAAAATGCAACAATATACCATGTACAGTTAATAAATTAGCTATTAAGAGGGTTCACTTTTAAAATGAAATGACAGGGAGGGATCAGAATGTCACCAGTTACCTTGATCCTGAACATCAAAGTCAGTGGTAACCAAGGGAGGAACTTGACCCCTGATGTTTGTAGCGTAGATCTGCCCTCCTCTCCGTGCTTGATCATCCTGAATGACTTGAGTCTTTAGAGAGCAAGAAAAAAACAAGGATATTGATACCTATCAGGGAGTAAGGTTGCACAATGAACCATGAATGCCAGATTACACTGTTCAATTCATAGTTAAACTCTGTTTTAGGCTGTGTGTAAAAACTAGTGATGCACAAATGTGGCCTAGCCCATGTCAGGCAAGTCTGATCTTTCAGTTGAAATATCAGGACACATTAGCATTATTCCAGGTAGGCTGACTTTATAATTTTATTAAATGTTGTTTATAATATATTATATCTTATGATATTATAAGATAAAATTACATTTGTTTACTGCAATTAATGTAACTTGTAACAGAATCTCTCAGAGAACATAATGTGAATTAGTCCATTGAACAATGTAAAAGTGGATTTCTGTATTGTCTACTACAGTATATAAAAGGCCAAGCTTACTATGGTCTTCTGTAGTATACTAAAATAGTCTCTAAAAGTTCTGTTTGATTTGTTTTAAAGGGAATTAAAGGGTGCTACTTTTTGTTGATCTACTAAAGCAGAAACTGTTCTATAGAAGAGTTCTAAAATGTCTTCAGTAAAGTTACAGTACTTAGATACTGTATTGCATAATTAGAAGGTATTCATTCCCGAAATAAAAATAAAATGAAACCTGAAGCAAAATATAAATAACTCAACAAGATAAAGAAATAAAACACAGAACAGAACAGATCACACTGATATTTGTTTAAAAATCTCTCTTCTCTGTGCAGTTGCTGTGCTGCCTCAGTTTGGAACACAAGACTGAAACACAGCCTACACAGGCATCCATCTGCAGTCATGCTGGTATGAGCATATCCATAAGGCCAGAATAAAGGCCTCATTAATTTACTAGTTCCAGATTTGAAATGATGAAGAATTATATTTGATAATTAGGTTTAAGCTTTTTCTGTAATTTCTTTTTAAACTTTTTGTTAATTACCAGTTGGTAATTACATCATGGTATATTCTTGGGAGAACAATGTCAAAAGCTCACCATTTTCTTCAGCATTAAGAAATAGTACAAAAGGTTTGGTTTAATAGCTAGTGGCATAAAACAAAAACAAAAAGCTTACCAAATGACTTTACAGTCATTCACAACACTGCAAGCTACTCGACAGATCATGTTATTTTTTTAACCCTGAGAACTGCTGAATAACTCTCGTAGGCATTCATCATTTCCTGTCATTATGCATTTCCAGACCAAGAAAGAAACGTCCTTTCTGCTGGTAAGGCATCGTGGGAAGTTTAACATAAGTGCTAATTTTGAACAGACTGAGATGAATTCCGAAAGCAGTACAGTTTCCCAGTGGACTGGGATAAAAAGAGCCCACAGAGACGATGGAAGAGAAGGGAAATGTCATACTAATACCCTCACTCTTTAAACTATTGGATAGAACAGTTGCGAAAACACAATGTCACTGAAGAAAGACGTTCTAAAAACCGATGGACAGAACAGTTCGAACAGTACCAACTGGTTGATTTGTTTTTTGTTGTAGTACAACGAAGAGGACACTTAATTGTACCTTACTGATGAAATACAAAGAACACAACAACTCATGAAACACAGCATTAGTCTGGCAGTGTATGAAACAAACACAGCAAATGTTTGATTCTATCCAATTCTATTTCCAAGGGAAAAGTAACTGTTAAGGAGACCCTGAGGAACAAACACTCATAAGCAAAATAGCAAAATGAAGTATTTGGAGTGTGGCCTCAGTGATTGAATATGGGACAATTAAAATGAAATATAAAGTCATTATTCTATTGAGACTTTCTATGTCAACAGACTGTATGAGGCTTTGAGAGCCACTCCCTCCCACCTACTGTGACCCAAATCACTTTAAACCTTTTTTAATACATACAGTATTCATCTCTGGAATGTCTATTAAATTATATGAACAGTTCAATACCACATATTGATTGCTTTAAATGAAGTAACATAATACCATAATTACATGATATAGACCACATTTTATTCTCTGTGATTCCCTCACAAGTTACATTAAACACTTTATCTAATATAAACAATCAACTTCTCACATTCTTCCCATTCAGCTTTGAGCTGGTTTAAACATATTTCTGCAACAAAGTTTGCCTGTGGTATTTTGCCAGGTAACCTAAGGCAAATTAAAACCAGCCGTAGCCTCTGTGGATTGTTATTTTCTCGTAGCCGGTATTATCTCTTGCAGGAGCTGCGCTGTCATGTCAAATTACCACAGTACATTTAGTAAATCAGAGACGGTACTTACTTCTGTACTTAAATAGACTTAAGACCACTGAGTCTTTCCGAAGTCTTCTACCCTGAAACCATTGTGGGGAAAACCTGGAAACAAACTTGACTCTACTCCCTCATTTTCAAAAGAACATCAGCTCATCAGCATGAGACTGGCAAACCCCCTATGACTCTCGTGCAACAGGCAGCAGGACATGGAAGCACCAGAATACAGACGAAGATGAACATGACGGGGGCTACACCGAACTTACAGCACTAGGAATAGAGTCAGGGTCAAGCTTCTTCTGTGGAGGGCCAGCCATTTGTGAGGCGGCCCCAGCTGGAAAAGAGCCAGGAAACCCTGGCTGAGCTCCTGCCATCTGCCCTCCGTATGAACCTGCCAAAAATCATACAAAATAAGACTCAATTTCCCACTCCAGCATTAGACCACAGACAGAAAGGGTATATGTGCAAGGCTACAGAAGCTTCCATTTTAGAAGCACACACAAACATACATCAATCTCTAATAGCCTTTTAATTCACTAGATTGTAAAGTGGTAAGGATTAAAAAAAGTATTAAAAAAAAAAGGTTAAAAAAAGTATTTGTACAGTATATTCTCTTCATGAATGCCCAATACCCAGCCAAGGCTGATACCCTTTGAATTATCCAATACCCACCAGCTATAAACCATTTGAGAGATACATTAAAGGAACTCCAGACATTTTAGAGGTACAATGTATAATTTCAATTATATCATTCCTCCAGAAACCATAGTGCCTGGTAATGTATTTGTCTGATCCTCATTTTAGGAAAACAAATTTTACAGTAACTATTATCAGAACTCTTAAACGATCATGTCCTGTTAAAACTTAGTTTGCAGCAAGCGTAATGTAAGCTAAAAACATTACAAACTAAAAATGTACAGTAAAAGTCAAAAGTCTCAGTACACCTCCTTAAAACCATTTTTTTTTCCATTATCTGCGCTTCAAAACTGTATAGACTTGTCAATAAACACTTAATGTGTAGAATGAACATGTTTGCTCTTCTTTTGGATTCCAGAGTAAAAGCATCATTTGTAAGACTGACTAAATTTTTTAAATGTCTTACTTATGTATTACACATATTTGAATTTGATTGAATATTGAATTTTGAAGAAATCCCCTTGATTTAATTTTGACTATTAATTATATATCCTGTCATTATCATTAGTACCTTCTTCAAATTCTTATCTCCCATTATAAGGTTTACATTTTTGTTACCTGAATATAATACTCTGTACCTGTCTTCGTACACTTTGCAGGGCCTTTGTGAATAATATACTGTAGTTTTCTTAGTTAAGAAGACATACAATATAGAGTGAAGCCAGCATGAGCACAGTACAAAAACATGCAACAACAAAATCTAAATTTTCTTGTAGGAGTTAATTATATCACACAGTGGCCTGTATCACTTTAATAGCTATGCAAATTAAATATGCAGACTTTAGAAGCCACAGATATGGTGAGATAAGGATCACCATGAGCATCAGGCCATTTAAGGGCCACGTTTATAGATCACAGATGAAGTTGGGTTGCAGAACATCTTAGAATAACATTAACTAAAGATGACAGACGAAGATCAGCAAAACTACAGATTCAAAGACAAAACCTAAACTTTGTTCAGAGCCCAAATTGTTGAGAGAACTGCCATAATGAAGAATGAAAGTGAGTTCTATGGAGTTGCCTCTACCAAAGTGAGTAACTTCTCTGTAATGGAGTATTGGAGAGGGTCACTACTGTCAGTGTTACTAGAAGGACTGTGACATGGGTAATGAAAAGGTAGCAAGACCTCCAGCAGTTAACCACTGTAAAACCGCCGATACGTAATGGCTAGAAATAGAAACACAGTTATCATCAACATCAGCTAGGGTACCATCGCTAGACAGGCAAGTGGAAAGCGAGATTCATGCAAAACAGCTCATTGGTGTGCTGGGCAGTCTGGTGTGCTAGAGCCATCACCTCTTGCAAGGGCAAAGCTAGAGATACGTTTTACATGTTTTTTTGAATGTTCTTTCTTTCATGCACGTTTCACTGGCTGAGCGCAGAATACGTCATGACCTACGAAGAGACAGCCTCAGTTTGTTCAATGGGTGAGGCAGAGCTAATATCATCAAACAGACAAAAAACGTATTTCAAAAATGTACTTGAGCAACACTAATTTTCTTCTTTATTTAAACAGCCGGGGAGACAAATTTAATATGTCCATTCAGACACAATCTTTGCTTCAACACTTAATCAGGAAGAAATAAAAGACAGAAACATAAAAATACAGAAATGTCACTTACCTCTTCACCGACAGCAATAATGCCACTGAATTTATCTGATCATACTAAGGTTAGTCTCTGAAACAAAATATTATTTTTATAAATACAAATGAATTCTAAGTCAATACAGTACCTTGCTGTGGGAGAAAACCATGTGGTCCTGACTGTGCAGTGGGAGGCTGAAATCCAACATTTCCTGGATGAGGTCCTGAGAAAGGGACTGTCGTTCCCATTGGAGAAACCGAAGACATGGCACCCATAGGATGGGCTCCAGATGTAAACGATGATGATGCAATTGGAGAGGCCTGTGAACCTGGTGGCAATGGAGGATGTGACATAGTCTGTGGCAGAGAAGTCTGGAAACCCTGCTGTGCAGCTGGGCTAGGAGGGGGTTGAGAACCTTGCATTGGGCCATGTCCTACAACAAAAAAGAAACTCAAAATTAACGGCAGTGGTAAAGAGTTTTCTTGAGAAGGATAGGTATCACAACACTCCAGACTTAATAATGGAGGGATGCATGCCTGATCACATTTTTTCCTTTTCATTTGCTGTTTCCTTTATCTCCTTCTCGTATGTTATTATATGTATATGTAGTATTTACCAGACTATAAACATGCAAAAATGTTTAAAAATTTTAACATTATAGCAAATTAGAATAAGGTTAATGCAGTTATAATGTACAGTGGGTTTCTGAGTGGGTCTCTTAGTGAGACAGATGGCCATTAAAGGAGATTCTTTTACTACCAGCTTGATAAAAGTTACATACTGTATGAGAGGAGAAACAGCTATAACCATTTGGTTCTGTAGGTTAATACTAGCTTACAGATGCTAGCATCCTATACTAGACATCCAATCCACAAAAGGGTTCCAAGAAATCAGATTAATTAGCTGGACAAGCTAGCTCCCAAGAACCGAGTATCTCCACTTAGGTTGGACTTCAGTCTTGTTTGCTTTTCTTTTCACTTTCTCAATCAAGACTGAATGTAAAACAATCTGTTGGGGTGATCTCAATTGAAATAATACTGTAAGAAACTATAAAGTCATGATGTAAAATTAAAAGCAGGACACTGAAACTATTTTGTTACTGAAATATGTTCACTCAGCATTTAGAGAATGAGCGCCGAACTATTTTCGGAGAAATCTGGAAAAAAACGATAGAACCATTTACTGCTCAGGGCTTCAAGTGATCATTTGATTTTACCATATCCACTTATTTGCATTGAATTCATCTGGCTGGTCAGCTGCTGTGTGGGTGCTGGAATGGGGGAGTTTTGATAGGGGGCTTGAGGATGTTGTCCATATGGTGAAAGGGAAGGAGCAGAAACAGCTGGAGATGGAGGAAACCTGGAAGACATGTAAAAGAAGGAATCAAGAGGATGATAGCAGTTGGATTTTCACATTCCAGAAAGTAAAAACCTAGCCTTATCTTCACAAGTTCATGGAAAGTAGATGATGTAAAGCTGGATTGTTTATGTTTGTTAACTCTAATGGCATGCTTTTCAATACCACATTTTATGCCATACATATTATACGTTTTGGTTTTAAAGACCACAGTACATCATATAATAAAGTTAGATGATGTCGCAAGACTTGGATATGACCCCCCTAAATGCTTGAGCAAAGCCTATGTTCATGAATTCAAAATACTGACACATTCAACAAGACTTTGACACTTCTCAAAGTTTGTTTTAAAAATATTTCTCTTTAAAGATGTAAGGTGAAAGGAACACACTAGCATTCAGTACTTATAACAGTTTAACTAAACATCACTTAAATACAACTTTTTTTTTCTTGGTTAAATCACTCTTAAAGAAGAAATTCTAATTGCATTAAAGACCATGTTCAATTTGGACAGCATGTAAAACACATGCAGTTAAATGTCATATTTACCTCTGGGAGTGAGCTCCATTTTGTAGATTGTTAGGGCTAAACTGGTTTGGGCCTGGTGGAGAAGGCATACCAGAAGCTGCAGGACCTGATGGCTTGAGTGCTCCTAAAAAGTAATTTTATTTATCACAAATCAGAAATGTATATGGATGTAAAATGGAACAACATTCGTATAATTCGTATAGAGATGTGAAAATACATTTTTAAACAAAAGCCATATGTACTAAAAAAAAAGTTCAAAGCTTTGCGCACTGATTAAAAAATGTGCTGCTCTTTTTTTTTTACATCCAAAGTTTCCCAAAAGAATGCTTAATTCAGGAAAGGAAAAACCTATTTCCCTTCTCCTTGCCTTGTTAGATCATGAAGAAATTCTAAATAAACATGTTTAATTGAAATATGTCCAAAAGAAATAATAATATTAATGAAGTTCAAGCTACAGCAAAAAAGACAGGAAAAAGCATATCATTCAAAGAATCAGATACGACACCCCTTGCTTTTCAAAGCTTTTATTTCTAAGAGCAGGGACGGTCAAACTCACTTTACAAGCACTCACTTTCTAATAAGACTTACAGTTTACTCTTAAAGAGCTACCCTGTCAACTTTCAAAATACTATATCAATATTAACAATAGCTACTACTGTACGTACAGTAAATTCTTACTATGAAAAATAAAAAGTCTGAAGCCTACAGAAGGAACATTCAAGTTGCCCATGTCAAGGTTTGCAGTTTTCCCAAGTGACATCACTCTCGAGATGCTACTGTATGAGCAGGACTTTAACCCCCAAACCCATGCTATGAAATGACCCTCTCTTTCTCACTGAGCAGTTTTCCCAAAGAGGTGGGTGTTTCATAGGCAAGTGGGAGACCTTGCTATGTGTAAGTCTCAATAGGCACTCTCTGAACTTTAAACATTTACAGATTTGTTACTTAAAAAAAACGAGCTCCATAAGAGAGAGGCATGGTAGCACAGTTACTGGCATTGCTGTCTTGCAGTGTTGGGGCCCTGGACTCAACTCTGGACCTGGGGGGCTATCTGTGTGGAGTTTTTGTGTTCTCCCTGTGGGTTTCCTTCAGGAGCTTCAATTTCCTCCCACAGTTCAAAGACATACTAAAAGGTCAGTTGGCTTCTGAGAAAATTAGCCCCGTTGTGAGTGTGTGTGTGTCTGTTTGTACCCTTCATAATAATTCCTTATACCTATATAGCGCTTTTCTTAACACTCTGCTCAAAGCACTTTACAGGTAATGGGGACTCCCCTCCATCACCACCAATGTGCAGCTCCACCTGGATGATGCAACGGCAGCCATAGTGCACCAGAACGCTCACTACACAACAGCTATCGGAGGGAAGGTATGATGAATCTAATTTATGGATAGGGACTATTAAGAGGCTACGACTGGTAAAGGCCAATGAGAAATTTGTCCAGAACACCGAGCCAACACCCCTACTCTTTTTCAGAATCGCTCTGGGATTGTTAGTGACCACAGAGAGTCGGGACCTTGGTTTTACGTCTCATCCGAAGGGCGATGCCTTTTTACAGAATAGCGTCCCCGTCGCTATACTGGGGCATTAGGACCAACACAGACCACAGGGTGAGCGCCCCCTACAGGTCCCACTAACACCTCTTCCAGCAGAAACCTTAGTTTTTCCCAGGAGTAGGAGGATGATATGGCTGCTGGCAAAAGTTTGTGCCATTTTTATAAGGCAAGAAATAAAATTAAAAAGATCACAATATAATCCCTTTGGGAATTTGAGACTCCCTTTTCTGTACCTGGTTGTGATGGAGAGAATGACTGAGGTGGTCCCCCATAGTGTCCATATAGGGTCTGAGAAGGTGCAGATCCAAAGCCAGAGGGATATCCTGCAATGCCAGGCTGGGCCTGAGAGTACGGTGGTGTTGCAACATAGCCAGGTTGACTCATTTTCCTTTGTTTTCAGGTCCTTCTCATTCCACTGCTCTCAGCACAATCTGTTGATGGAAGAGGAAGGGATATTTACTCTTCATTGCTATCACATTCAAATGTATACAGCAACTTTGTGCAAAGTGAGAATTAATGCAAGAGTCAGTTAGGCAACCATAGTTACTAGCAAAAATAGGTCATAGCAGGGACAGGACTTGTTGCATACTTAAGCCTGCTGAGTAGTTATTTCCCGTTGTTGAACATAAGCAGGTACTGTAGATATTGTTTATCTTGTAAACTGGAATATGTTACAGGTGTGTCTAAGAAACCTTTGACACTCTATTGTGAAATAATAAGAATCTGTTCCATTCGCAAAAAGAAAAGATATTCGCATTGTTCTGACTCCCACAAATCATGGTTTGGCCTGGCAACTGATGAGTTAAGAGAATCTGTGCCAAATGGCAAAGGTCACTTACTTCCTCAAAGCAAGGTGGTGCCTGGGTTGGCATTTTAATTTAATGTAATATTTAATTTAGTCATTTAAATTTAGAAATTCCCCATACCTAACTGGAGATCTGCCATACAGAGGCCAGCTGATGGCTATTGTATTTCGTTTGTTGAACAAAAAATGAAAAACAAACATCTGTGGAAGAAAGTCTGAAAGCTATTGGTCTAACAAATAAACAAATGGATATCCTTTGTGATTTGAAAATAAGCTGAGGAAGATGACAGAGGAATAAAATTTCAAAGAACGTGTTAATAAAGAGGACAGTCAACACACCGACAAATGGGAAAATGTTGGTCTGTAATTCTAAATATGCTCTTAAGGAGTATATCACAGGAAAACATGAAAAATCTTGCAATGCCTAAAAAGACAAATCAATATTGTAATGTAATATTCCAAGGTCTTAACCAGCATGGAAGTACTTTACTGGTTTTGATTTGTTCTGCAGAGCCTAATGTTTGTTGCTTGTATTGAGTCTCAAGTACTGTACAGTACCAGGTTCACATTGCAGTACATGTTATTGTTTACAGTACTGTATATTTATTATCTTTAGAATGCAGTGGCACAGTTGCACAGTGGGCAGCATTTCTGCCTTACAACACAGTACTATCTGTGTGGAGTTTGTATATTCTCCCTGTGTTCATGTGGGTTTCCTTTGGGTGTTCCAGTCCGGTCCAGGGACAATTTTACAGCAGCCAATTAACCTACCAGTCTTTGGATCTTTGGATACACTGATAAGTTAATTAGCTTCTGTAACATTGGCCCTGGGGTGATGTAAGTGTTTGTGTCCTTCAATATCCTGGATTCCTGTCCAAAGTGTATTCTGCCTTGTACCAAATGCTTCCCAAAAGCTCTGGGCCACCATGTGCCTGAATTGGATAAGACGTTATTGAAAGTGATGTGATCTTTAAAAATGTTGCATTAACTCCATTGTCCACTTCCCATTTCTATGTACAGTATACTGTGAACATAGCACTGAAAAGTAATTAAGACATTGGAAAGCTACATTTTCTTACATCTCTCATTATACTGCCTCTTACAAGCATATGGTCCACATGATCTAAAATGTTAGGCCTACTAGAAAAAAAAATCGAATGCGTACCATTTTTAAAAAAGGTTTACATTCACCCACTAACACAAGCACCATAAAACAACTTCCTGAAATAAAAATACTTTGTTATTTTGTAAGGGGGAGTCCCGCTGACAGGTTTATCACATCCCCTTCACAGTAGTTGTTGGGGTGGGAAGAGCATCCCAGCTTTTTTGCTTCCCTTCCAGAAGGTATTCTTGCAACTTCTTCCATCCCGTAACTTTTTTGATCCCTGAATAATGGGACAAGTTCTGGATGCCCAGAAGAGTACCTTAGCTAAGGGACCCTCTCAGCAAAAATGGGACATACACTATGGTTATCTTGTTAAAGCAATACAATGAACTTATAATTATAAGTATTACCAATAGTAAACAATTTAGCATACTGATTCTAAGTAAATCTTCAAATATTTTTACCCCCATTGCACCCTGGCACCCTAAGAACATAAAGCTTATAAAGGAGAGGAGGCCATTCAGCCCCCCTAACAGATTTGGTATGATATCTTAAGACCTCATCCATCTATTTTCTTGAAAGAATCCAGGGTACCAACTTCAACAAGATGGCTGGGTAGCTTGTTCACTATTCTCCCAAACTCTTTGAGTAAAGAAGTGCTTCCTGTTCTCAATTTAAAATGCACTTCCACACAGTTTAAAATTATGGCTTCTGGTTTGTATTTCACTTCATTTTGAAGAAATTCTGTTGGGTTGCCTTTATCATTGCCTTCTTAGTCATTTTTGGTCAAGACTAAAAATGTAGGTTTTATTCAGTCTGTCAGTTTTAGACATTCCATTAAGCACCCCAATGTATTAAGCTTTTCTTCTCTAGATAGACTCCAGAGCAGCCAAATCCTTTCTATAATATGGTGACAAAACTTTAACTTGATATTCTAAATAAGGACTTACTAGTGTGTTATATAATTTTAACAAGAATTATATTATTTGGGAACTTTGCGAATTCTACTTGGGGGTACAGTACCTCAGTGCACTCTCTAAGATACCGGACATTTTTCTTATTCTTAAACATCAGACGTTAAACTCAAACAAACTCAAACTCAACAAAGAAAACAGTCGGTATATAAACTTTAATAAGGAAAAAAGAGAGGTCAGTGATAATATTTCAAGCCTTTGGGGTTAATCCAAGCAAACAAATTTCTGTTCTTGCAAGTCTTCTTTAATGCCAGTAAACATAACTTATAGAACCTTAACATTAACCTACAATGGATAGCTTACAGTACTGTACTACTGTATAGGCCAGGGCTATCCCATATATTTTGACCTGTTAGGCCTATCCATTAAATATGATATAGCACTGCATTAGTGTGTTTTGTTTTTTGCATACTTTAAATTGCATTTTGACACATTCATATTTCCACAGAATCAACGGGGTTTCAATGCAACATCCTCAAAATGTATACCACTACTGAACCACTTAGGGAGGGAACCTCTGACTACTCCACTTCGACAAGTTTAGACAAAATAACGTCAGAAGCACCCAATTCAGCAGACGCCTAAAACCAATGATAACAACGGGACGTGTAACAAGTTAAAAAGGAAACATAAGGAAAACCGTTCTGCAATTCATCAGCTCACTTTTACTACACATCACACATACTGTACAAAGGCAGTGTTAAAGTCATTTATATTATTCACACTGTACTAACTGTATGAAGTAAATTCAGATTACGCAAAGGACTATTTGACTTTTAGGTCTTTATAGAAGCCCTCTTAACATATAACTGTATGTTTACATTTCACCTGTTTTGCATAATGTAGTGAAACAAAATCAATACAAAGTTCCAACGGTCAGCAGACAGCACAGAGTCAGCCTGGTTTACATGCATCACAACAGTGTAGACAGCAGCCGTTGATATGTACTGTAGATCAACATTAGCTCTCTTATTAAAGGATTTTATTGGTAGACCTGACAAATATGCATTTAAGAAAAATGTTGTCACTCCAAAACTTTTAAGTCAATTTAAGGAAAAATAAATATTTAACTAAACCTTAATTTTTCAGACATCTTGGAATGAAACCACTTTAGCCTTTATTTTATCCAAGACATTCATCTTGTCACAACCTTTTAGCAGTTACTGTCCTGGGGTCTCCTACGAATTAATCATGGTGTAAACAGGAGATATACATCGACAGCAGCCATATCACCCTGCAACTCACAACTGGCAACCCACTGAAGCTAAGCAGGTGTGAGCCTGGTCAGTACCTGGATGGGAGACCTCCTGGGAAAAACTAAGGTTGCTGCTGGAAGAGGTGTTAGTGGGACCAGCAGGGGGTGCTCACGTGGGTCCTAATGCCCCAGTATAGTGACGGGGACACTATACTGTAAATAGGCGCCCTCCTTCAGATGAGACGTAAAACCGAGGTCCTGACTCTCTGTGGTCATTAAAAATCCCAGGGCGTTTCTCGAAAAGAGTAGGGGTGTAACCCCGGCGTCCTGGCCAAATTTCCCCATTGGCCTTTACCAATCATGGCCTCCTAATAATCCCCATCTATGAATTGGCTACATTGCTCTCCTCCCCACTGATAGCTGATGTGTGGTGAGCGTTCTGACGCACTATGGCTGCCGTCGCATCATCCAGGTGGATGCTGCACATTGGTTGTGGTGGAGGGGAGTCCCCATTACCTGTAAAGCGCTTTGAGTGGAGTGTCCAGAAAAGCACTATATAAGTGTAAAATTATATAAAATACAAATTACAGCTTTTTTATTTTTTACCTCAGAGTTGATTTTAACATTTTGAAAGTGAAAAAGTTAAATTATAAACAATGGTGAGCATCTACATCAATAATAACATTAAAATCTATGATAAAGACATTTGGTGGTACTGCATTATAAAATAAAACTTAATATAAACTTTATAAAAAGTACTGTAGGTCTGTAGTCATTTTACACAAGTTCAAAGCAGGTTGCTTTGTTACGTTTTATACACAGTATACTTCTGTAATAATTTACTCTGTTAAAAAAGTTTTTTGACAGCAAGATGAAGTAGCTAAAAGACCACAGTACTCAAACCACAAGTCACACTGTAGCTGTCAATTTCACCACACCTTAACTTACACTTCTGTTCAACAGAGTACAGTAGCTTCATGAACCATAGGCCTTTACAGCATAAATTAGAAAGCAACTTAAGATTGTACATTTAGATAATAGTGCATTTATTTTTGTATTATAAAAAGTGATTCATTAAAAATAAATAAAATATTGTCTTCAATAAAAAGACAGAGTAAATTTTAACTCTGATCTCTTAATACAACATGAAATTGGGTGTTGCATCCTTACCTTTAAGCCTGACAGGTATTTAAGAAAATAAGACAGATCCCTAGCTGTGAATCCACAGAAAACTGTTGACATGACCAAGGCCTCAGCAGTCTTTTTACAGTGATCTCTATCTTTAACTATTATTTTTCTGACACTTCAGTTAAACGACTCGCACCTACTGTACATGAAACGATAAGTTAGCAGCCTAAAACGAGAGAACAAAACACCATCACCCAGGGGTAAGGGCTGCTGTCCTCTCCTCTACCGACACTTGCCACGTCAAACACCAAACATCAAAGCAAAGATGATATTACGCCGACAACAGTAAAAGATGCAACATGAAAACAAACCTCCACGATCAATAAGCTTTACAGTAAAAGTCGTGGATAAACAAATACCCAGACGCTGACTTTAACCACACTGTTGGTACTGCTGGCATCGCATGAAAACACGCCTATTAAAAATAAAGTTGTAAAATCTGTTCAGTCAATTGGACACATAACGGATCTGCCTTTTCTTCCTCACAGTGTCAAATATACAAGTGCATCAAGTCAAACAGCACGGTGAGCGACGAAATACTGTCTTATTTACCTGTGTGCCAGTACGGATAAGCCGGACGCGTCTGAGTGTGTAATCGAAACCGAAGTGCCACGTCGAACTCCAACACCGCACCGGCTCCCAATGTCCACGGTGCAGCTCGCTGGCAGGACTGCGCAGGCGCGGAGTAGTGGGAATTCCTCTTACACGTCAGCGTTCACCATTCAGGCAGGCGAGCTGTAGCGGGCAGCTAGGTGTGATGCAGTACGGAAGATTTGCCTTCTTCTTCGGCGCCTCTGCAATGATGTACTACGCACACAAATGTATACACGGCAGCCGACGCGAATGTTATACCGCCTATTATTATTTTGTCATGAAATATACCTTAACCAATGAGTTTACAGGGAAGTTGCATTCTTACAGTATGTGACAGACAGGAGACTACTTCAAGGAATCAGCATCAGCTGCTAATGCTAAACGCGTTTGCTCTTCGTCTCTTTCAGAGATAAAAATTAGAATTAGGCATTACTTTTTTTACTCGTGTACAGTACAAATGTATAGCTTGCTGTGTTATTCAGTAAAAGAGAACTGCGCTGATGCCATCTTATGTATTTTGTGATTTTTTTTAACTGAGTTGATGATGTAGTCAGGCTATATAATTCTGAACGTCCATCATTTTGACAAAATCTTAGCTGCGTAGTGTTTAACTGCCCCCTGTGTAATTGTGTGTATTGTAAATGGCTCGTACGCTGTGTAAACTAATGGCAAACTAATAAAATGACTTGTACAACACTCACAGATTACAAAATAATTTAAAAATTAAAAGACGCATATTTAACCAACCGAGAGGAAAGCTATTTTTTATTCTGCCTGACAAATGTTCCCCTTTGCTTTATGCTAATCTACAGTATTTACCTATAGAGTTGTACTGTACGTACCTGTACAGCTCTGTATATCCTGCAAAAAAGTTTCGTCTGTTTATACAATACTAATACAAATCAGATAGAAGATGGGTGGATTAATACCCTTATTCATTTATTCCTTTTTTTAATTGTATAATGTTAGCATGCCCAAAGGGACTGGACAGCCAGTTGACCTTGGACCCCTAGTGTTTTTTTTTTCTTCTTACTAAGGAGTTTTTCGTTCCTCTCCGTTGTCTTCTGATCTTTTCTGTTGTGTATTCACAACATGTATTGTCACTTGCTTTGTTAGACGTCTTGGGGCAACCTTGTAGTGAAAGGCGCTATATAAAAATGCATTGAATTGAATTGAAAAACAAAAATATATACATTTCTTGTAGCCAACGGTATCTTACCGTATAACTTCTTAATTTCATTATTTAATTATAATTTAATTATAAATGCTGGCTCTACAATTAACACGATTTTCCTGAAAATAAAGTTCCCTTAACAGCCCGTACAATACCTAAATGGCTATTTACCCTGTTATACTTTCAACATAGACCTTGTGACACAGTTTGATTGCTATTTGTCTCACTTTTTAAAACCTGTATAGTTTCGCAATATACTGTAAGGTTGTCAGTTATACTTAAAATGCCATTTATCTGGAACAAATAAAAGGCTTAGTTTATTCTTTGAGTCTTCTTAACTCCATGTAGGAGTGGCTTGGCATCTTCAGTTAACATCAATTTTCTACTTACTGTATAATATGTTATCACTATGTGGGACACAATCGCAGTTAATACAAAGTCTGAAACACACTGTAATTCGTAAGTTTGATCTCAGCTGCACTACAGAACTGCACTATGTTATGAGTGGGAGCACTACATCCTGTACAATGTAGTACCATCGCATTTTTTTCTTCAGTTTTAATAATAACATCTCTTTGCTTCATGGTACTTGTAGAATGCACACATTATTAACAGCTGGAACCAGGATTGCGCTGTAATTTCGAAGGGTGTATTCAGCATAATGAAAACAGCAGTTGTAAGACTTTATTTCAACAGTATAATTCAATCTACAGTACTCTGAAACTTAATTTAAAACCCCTTTATGCAACATGCTGTACAGTATGCGATAGTGATAGAAAACGGCATGTGGTAATAGAAAGGTATGAGTGTCATGCAAATGCAAATTGCATCCAGTGAACAAACTAGGTTTTTCTTGTATTACTGTATAAGTATCACGGGGTATACAGGATAACTTTATTTTCAATTTGTTAAATCGCAGCTAAATCCCAGTTAAAAAAAATCCTAAAAAGTGTTAGCAGGAAGTCTAATCAATACTCAATCCGAATCTCCTGATTATTTCACAGCATTTAGCTTTGGACAAAATAACAATTCCTCGTTAACAGGAACCCACGCATTTATGGCCGAAATTACTCCTAAATAAAAAATCCGGATTGCGAGTTTTCTTGCTAGTGTAATTTTGCAGGGCGGGATTTTGCAAATGACGTATTGCAACGGGTTGGACTTTTGAGTTTTGTAATGCGTGATGTGAATGGTACTGTTAAACATACAGCGCTGCTTTGCTTGCGTTGGGCTAAACCGCAGCAGAATCAACTCCAGGCAACTTTATGAACTAATTTGTGGTTGGTGAACACTGATGAAATCCACCAGGATGGTCACTGGGGATTATATCTGCATAACAGTTCGCGGAGGAGCGCCTTGGGGTTTCGTTCTGCAAGGTGGCAAAGAATTTCAGCTACCATTGCAGATCTCTGAGGTGAGATGGAAATAAACTGATAAATTGATAGTGATGATCAATCTACCTCTGATGATTATGATGATACTTTTTTTTATGGAAGTATTGGCTTTAGTCTATTATATTACATTCTTCAACATAATCCGAATGCTACCTGTATTATAATAAATAGATGTACTGTAACAGCTGTTGGATTATTCTTGTTTTTAGAGGTACTCTACATACAGTATTTTTAGACAGCTAAAGAATAAATTCACAACTGTAAATACAGTATATACATGGAATAGTTACTACAACTTCGTGAACAGCTCTCAGATTAATTACAGAGTCCGAGATCTGTATGGTACTGATTTGGATACTGCAATGAAAAGCAAAGTCGATTTTACAGATATTTTTACAGATAAAAATTTACTTCGTCAAAAGCTGGCGGGTAAACCACAAAGGATAGGTAAATAATTGAAAACGCATGTCTGGCGATGGATTCATCAGATCCACGGTAGTATCCTGCGTGTCCGCACCGTCCTTTATAGGTATTCTCCTACAAAAAGTAAGGTAACGGAGGTTTTATTCTGGATAGAGAGTACGAAGGTGCTAATATGAGCCACAGCTGGATATAATTAAAAAAAACATTAGCATTGTTCCTCTCGGAAGACAACTAATGTATTGTATTATAACTTTAAATGTACTTTATCAATATACAGTACTGTATGGTACTGTGCATGCATTTGAAGAATTTGAAATGCGTCAGCTACAGTATAGCCTTCAACTGTTTGCTGCACGTGCGGAGTTGACTCTTAACATAAATACTGAATGGTTACAAAAACACAATGTACATTTCATTTCCTCATAATCTTAGTTTTGCATGAAGATTTTATTTTTTTTACTCTTTAGAAATGTATTTTTCTGTCAGTAAAACAAACTGTTCTATGCCTTGGTGAATATCAACGCTTGCACGGAGCAACAGCAGAGCCCAAGTTCAGTTGTGTGGTGCTCTGAGCTACACTGAAGCTATCTGATACATTGCCTCTCAGACTAATCCGAAGAAGAACATAAACAAACTCCTCACCAGATTTGAGGAGTGTTATTAATTATTAATGAGCAATGTTTATCCTTTTAGTGTGATGAGAAAGTTAACGGTTCTGAGCAGAGTAAACATACATGGGGGGCCTTTAAAATCCTTTTTATTTTGACATAGTAGAAAAAATATACAGTATGGTGGTGTTTTCAAGTCTGTATATAAAGATTTGATGTAAGTAAATGGACTGAATAGAATGTCGTTGTGTTTTGGAACCATAGAAGACAACTACAATCAAGATGTATGGCATGAAGAAATATTATAAATATTTTTTATACATAAATATAATATGCATACATAAAAGGTGTACGATAATTAGTGCTTGAAATATATTTAAATATATTAAAAAATAGTTACTGGTTGTTAAATGCATTTCAAGAACACACTTTCATATACTCTTAATGTAGTGCAAATATTGATATACAGTTTTTCATTAGGTTTTCAAAATTAATTATTAATTTCTTGTAATTGTTTTCAAGACCAATCTAGAATATTTTCAGTTGCATACAGAATATATATAATCCTCTTCTCTATGGAGTTTTAAGCAAAGTTCAGGAGAAGGTTAAACCCCAACCTCACCCAGTTCTGCTCACCTCCATATAAATCACAATTCTAGAGTGACCTCTTCCACATTATTATTTTGTATCCCACCCTTCACCACATTATCCCTATAGCTTCCACTCATATAGTATATTGACTTATCCCTTCTTGTAAAACTAAGGGGATTTCTGAGTCTTGTCCTGACCGTCAGGATGCTATTCTCTCCACCAGGAGAGAAAAGTCAACAAAGCAAACTAATTCAATCATGAATTTGAATTCATGGTCTTAATTACTGTTTAATTACTGTTTGGATGAACTACTGAAAGGGCTGAGAATGTAGAATTACAGGTAGGGTTATTGTACAGTATGTGGAGTTAAGCAACAGCCTTTGGACAAGATTAAGCCGTCACAACCTATGGATTCTCAGTCTGTTCCTTGCACCAAATTTAAGTAATCCGGTAAAATGCCTTTACTGAAATACTGGTGAGTACAAAAATCACATGGAGATGGGGAGAACACGTAAAGTAAACTTTCAATTCACTTGCCACACCACAGTGCTACCCACAGAATTACCAGTTTTGCAATTCACTAATCATCTGACATTAAACTTCTCCCATTTGTATTTGTAATGCTCAACAAATAATCTCAGAAATCCTTTTGTCAATGTTTTTTTTTTCCACACACATGCACAAAATGAAGAGTATAAGAATAATGTTTTAAAAGTCCAACCATAACAAAGACATTTTAAATTGTGAATAAATACAGTGGGAGCAGTTTTGCCCTGGCCCAGCCAGGAGTTTCTTAAGAGGCTCGGGGTACATACAGCACCACTCCCTGAACTGCAGAGAGATCAGAAGCTCCAAAACACTGGTTCCTCTGCTGTGGGAGAATTCAGCACTGTGCAGATATGAAGGAGGAGACTTTCTGTAACAGGCTTAGTATGACTGATCCTTGCCACAGTAAATACAGTGAATAATCATACTGTAGGTTTCTATCAGCACTTTAGAAAAAGGTTAGTAATAACAAACACATTTTTTAGAGTTACTGCAAAGAAACAAGTAATTTCTAGATATAAAGCAGACCAGTTGAATAACATGTTTGGAATTTGTACAAATTTTGAGCCTTTTTGTTAAAAAAAAGTGAAATCACAAAAAATGACTACAAACGTACCTTTATTACACAGGCTTTCAGGGATAGAGATTGTCTAGAGATTTTTGTATGTCTGGGTTCAGCGTTGATACCAGAACTTCATTCCACAAGAAATTGTAAATTTTCTTTATTCCTTTCCCAGGGACACAATGATTTAAGGATGTTATTTTCTGCAGGTAAAAATAAGCATTCATTTAAAAAAATCTAAATGCCATGAGTGCTGCTAGCTGTTAAAGAAAACCTGGCTGCCTTCAAATGCTTATAAATCTATCTAGGATTTTATCAGAAGACCCTGTCTGGGTATTTCTTCAGGATTCCTGAAGAAAACAAACTTTATTAGATTCATGCTGGAGTGCTTTGATTGTTTATTAAAATTTTAAACAAGATACCACATGGCATTCTACTTTGTTTAAACATCATGTAAATCTAAAAAATGACAGACATCACAAGATTTAATCCAGTTTTTGAATGTTTATGTGTTTTACTAGTGATAATTTTATTTTAATCAGTCACTGTGATGTTAGTATTTGTAGGTGTTTTAACTAAATAATATTTGATGCTAAAATTTTTATATTTCACACACCTAAAACTTGGGGATTTCCTTCCTGTTTGCTTACTGTTTACTACTGAAAATGTTTTATAAAACTGATGGATGGAGTAAAATAAGAATGAGAATTACAAGGTTTCAAGATTTTCAATGTGACCAGCCAACAGTTGTTGAGCAACAACTGTCGCAAAAAAAGAGTTTCTCTCTTCTAACAACTGTAAGACAAATGGTAAATAAAATAATTGGCTAAAACATGAGTGGAAAATTATTTAATCCCTTGACTCGAGTTGAGGGCCTAGCAGTAGATCAAGAGGGCATTTGAAGGTTTTGGCAGATAATTCCCGCAGGCTCTGGCCATGTGGAAAACTGGAGACCATCAGATGTTGACCTTACTTGAAACAGAAAAAGTTTTCTGCTAGTGTCTTTGGAAACACAAGTGTTATGCAATAAAATCCTGTTTCCTAAAATAAACGTACATACAGTATCCCTCCTACTAAACTTTAAACCTGATGTTTAAACTGGTTTCTCTTGATGTAAAGTTTTATTTTTTCCAAATTTTATTTTCTAGGATGGATTCAGAGAGAATTAACAATAAAACAAATAATTTTATCCTGACTTAATCAATATACAGTAGTTATTGTAGGTGAATACAGAATGTTTTCACTCGGATCTCAGTGTTGTTGCAATGGCTAAAGCTGTTGACAAACATCTTTATGAACACAAAAGCTGTTGACAGAGTACTGACAAACTAGGTTCAGACAATTTCATTAGAAAATGAAAGGAGGGATGGGTTATATGAATGAAAATTAACGTTGTCCACTACAACATCATCTCAAAGAGCTAATGCTATGCAAAGCAAAATAAAAAGTTTGACCCACCACAAGCTCCTAACATTTCAATACATTAATAGTTATAACTTTAATCTGTTCCTACTGATACATTTATTGTATCAGTTAACAAGTGTTTCAAGTAAATAGCTGCGTCAGCATGCGTAGGCTGCGAAGGAACACGTAAGTGAGGAACCTCACTCACACATGAAGAAGGCTCCACAGCCGAATTGTTGTGTTTCCTTTCTTTTCTTTTCAGCATGGAATAAACCCGTGACTGGTTCCTTTGTTAGCTAGTGATGCAGTATTATAAGACCCCTCATTAGATACAGCATATCGTTTATAAAATACTCTGCTGAATTTTAATCTCTGATTGTTAACGGAAGTGCCATTGTTGTGTTTGTAAGTTGTGTTTTGTTGTTACCAAAAGATAGGTTAAGTGGTTACTGGGAAAATTATCCCAGGTGTGAGTTCTTAGAGTACGTGTGTGCTCTGTGATGGACTGGTGTTCGTCCAAGATGTATCCCACCTTGCACCTGTTACTTGCTGGGATGGGCACCGGCTCCCTCATGACCCTGTATTAGATAAAGGGGTTAGAAAATGGGTGGATGGAAGTTTAATTTTAACTTCTCAAGCGCTTTGAGAAGCCACCTTTAAAGGCGCTATATAAAATAAAGTTTATTATTATTGTTGTTATTATTATTATTATTATTATTATTATTATTATTATTATTATTATTATTATTATTATTATGATGATGATGATGACAGGATTCATGGCTTATTTAGAACTTTGTAATAAATATTGATGTGCAGGTAATAGTATCAGCTTTAGTCTATTTAGTCATTTAAGAAATGACCAGCACAGATTTAATAACCTATT